TGTGCTAGGCGATTCAGTGAAGGAGACAGAGGTACGCTGTGTGTTGAAGGTATTATCCAGCGTTTTTAGCAACAATGGCTCCTTTTATTGCGACAACGGATTTACTTAATAAGCACCCTGAAATCTGTTAATGAGACAGGCACAGGTACGGTCTGGAAAAATAACTTTAGAGCAGTCGATGGTAGGGATTCCTTGTGGGGCCGCCTGGGGAGCATGTGAAGCGTGCCCTCAAGCTCAGGAGCACCTGATTTTAGGGGAGAGGACGGGTGGGGCATGTCAAAGAACAAACAAGATCGCAATATTCCTGTAAAATAAAACAGTCACGAGGAAAAGTTGGGTCGCGTACTCAAACCTCGGACAAGGACACTGAAAAGGGTTTTAATATCATCGCTAACACCCGCCCGACCAACGGCGAACGCGTGTATGTAGGGGAGTTTGCTCTTACCTCGGGCGAGGACATTGAGGTACATTTTCTAGCGGTACCACCAACACCAACTAGAACGAAAGTTAACGCAGTACAAGGGTGGGGAGATTGAAGAAATCACTCTACTTAAAATTCTTAAGTAGGTGATTACTCTTGTTGTTAATTTAAAAGGCTAATTTTGCTTAGTATACTGACTTAAGCGGTTGTGGTATGAGGTGGCTTTGGGAAAACCACTCTGCATTTCAATGCCGTTATCAAATTCCTGCTGGATCGACGGATGGCGTGTAGAAAACTGGAAGGTTATAGGTAATTCAACCTACTTAAAACATTTAATTAGGGCGCTGTAATATATAAACACCTTTCGAATACCCCGCTTCAAAACCCTACCCAGTTGATAATGAGTGGAGGCATGCGGTTATGTATAAAAGTTAAGGCGTTTGATAGAATAGTAAACGATGGATATAGTATGTAAGTTTACAAATTTTAATAAAGCGGATTCTAATATGAAAAGAAAATGGAAAACAAGCTGTCAGAATAACACCGAGGTACCTAAAAAGTAATAAATCATTGAGCGGGAGGTCGAAGGATTCATAGCAGTGCTAGGGTCGCGGTCGGAAAACGCAGTTGGCTGCCTTCAAATCTTCCAGTAGAAGCCAACCCTCCGGCAGTATAAAACCCGCCAGTTTTCAGAATCGCCTGCGGCTGCCTTCAGCTTAGGTAAACTGTTGGCGTATTTCGGAGCTCTAATCACCTGCACGCACTCCTATTTGTTGATTTTGCGGAAATGCAGACCGGCAAGAGGTTGTTTCACCCCACATGTCAACGACTTCTCTGATTAGTCTACAATCACTCCAAAGGGATGAGTGTGTGTGTGCGTTTTGTGTATCTGAAACTGTTAATCACAAATTAATATTCGGCGTGATTTGCGATCAAAAACTATCCAGATAAGGCGATTCTGGTGGCATATGAACACAGAAAAAACGGTTTATTAAATTATGTGATGACGTCGGCCCACAGTAAAACGTTCAACTTCTCCTTACGGTTCCTACACTTATATGTGGTTTAGGTGTTCCATT